TTTGATTGGCAGGAGTCGCTATATTAATGATAGTCCATGAGGCAGAGGAGTTTAAAAAAAAAACCAATGTCAAGTGTGAAAAGGAGTTTAAGACTTCGTGGGGAGAACAGACTGTACTGAAGACGGCAGGCAGAGATTGGCTGAAGAGTTAATGATATGGTATAAGGTTGTTACTGTGTGTGTTTGTGAGTAGATGGAATTCTTTTTACAAAGATTACTCTGATATTGAGACAAAATAAAGCTCCCTCCACCGCCCAATTATCCCTCAGTGTGTTCTTCCGTTAGTCTTTTAGCTTCACTTTTTAAAAACTACAGTCTCCTTCTTCTTTTATTTTGGGCACACCAACCTTTGATCACACTAAAATACTATACCATTAAGATCCTGAACAAATCTCGGGAAAAAAAGTTTCTCAAAAATGACTAAAAATACACTCATTTGTCTTAAAATACTTAGCTATATCCATTTTTGTGGTTAAAATTCAGAAAAAATATACTTTTTGGGCACACCAACCTAGTCTACTTCTTTTATTTTAGCAAAAATCAAGAAATACCGGCTCTATGTTGTTACTACAGACCATGTAAAGTCAAAGTCGCACCGTAAAAAGAAAATTGATTTCAATTTGGAGAATTTTCTTTGACCTTTTCTGTTTTAACCCAAAAAACACAGATTCCTTCAAATAGAGCTTTTCACAATGTGTTCTTGGCCCCAAGTGGAGGATATTACTCTCCAGGTTTAATTAGGTAAAAAAACCTTCCACACCTAGCAGTCAGTAAGGTCGGAGTTTTTTTTTTTTTTTTTAGTGTTTGCTTTACATAAAGAGGCTTTACAGGTTATATCAGGTTTTACAGCACTGGGAAACCTCCTACGGTAGGCTATAGGTCAGTCTTTCCACTCAATCGGCCCTTGACATCATTGCTTGTAAAAACAGAGCAATTCAGTTGCTTGAAGCCTGGATGTTGTCAAAGAAAGTAGTACCATGCACTGTAATAACGTTCATGAAACAGAAGAACAAATCTGAAATCTGAGGTTTCTCAGAACTAGGTAAACGTTGGCAACTGGATACAAATAAGACAAATAAAATATTATAAAAGGATTCAAACTGCCTGGGGAATTATTTAAAAACTCCCTCAGGGAAAAAAAGTCCTTCACAATAAACCATTTTAACACTGGTATTCTGATCCGTGAGATGATCAGAACAGACGAAGGCAGAATCTTATATAATATATTTTAAGGACACTGTTTGGGCACCGGGTCCAGACAGTCATTGTCCTGGTTTGGGATGACTTTCACCAGACATGGGTTCTTGACAGTCCGTTAGTGACCTGGTTTAGAAAATTCATGGCAGAACCAGAGACTGGCAGTGCCCTGCTTTTTCTTTTATTAGGAATGCGTCTGCAAAAGGGGTCAGTTTCCTGCTTCTCTGCCCCCTCCCTGCTCCCCTCCAGGTTTCCACAATTATAGAAGAAAGCACAGAAGAGGGGTTTGAAAGAGTTCCACTGGAGCCAACTACTGAAAACTGCAGTAACTCACCTCCCAATTCACTTTCTTCACCTTCTTCTGTTGTTCTTAGCAACTTAACAACTGCTCTCAGGTCTCTGGTGCTGCAGTCTTGGAGATGAGTAAAACCTGCTGCAGCAGCAGTCAGGGTTTAACATGATCACAAGCTAGAGCTCAGCCAAAACGTCCTGGAACGGGGCTCTGAACATTGAACATTGAAACATGATTTGGGGGGATGCTGCTTCTCACGACAAAGAAACTTCAGGGAGGAGGAAGACGCTGTAAGAGTAATCCTTCAGAAGAAAATGCGACAAAAATGTTCCCATGGACGTACCGAGTACTGTAACAGGACAAGGTGAATTGGTTAATGGACGTACCGAGTACTGTAACAGGACATGGTGAATTGGTTAATATTAAAGCAGTGATTCTTAACCATAGGGACGCGGCCCTAACTTGGGCCACCAGCACCACTTTCAGTTTTGCACATGTGGGCTGCAATGGCCGTGGGACTGAAGAAACCAGAGACATGTTACCCACGAGATGCTCAGTTACAGCTTTAATGAAATCTAATATAAAGCAAAAAAAACTGTCTTCTTCTCTGTCGTAGGTGTAGCAAAAAGTATGGAGTTTTTAAAATGAAAAAAATAACAAAAAGACGAATTGGGCCTCAAGGTAAAAAAGAACTCCTGAAATAGAGGTCTGAAAAACAGAATTGCTAACACTAGGTTTTATTTATCTTTCTTTCTCTAATGTTATATCTTTACTTTTTTAGAGTTTTTACTCAAAACCTTCTTTTGGTCTACGACCAGAATCTGAATATTGCCGTTACTTTTTTTAATTCTTTGGGCAAAGTTTGGTCTCAACATGCAGTCTTTTATATTGGTGGTAAAACACACAGTAGGGACCCCTCCGTACTTGGTTCATGGACTCCATCGTGTTGGTCTTATTCATGTGTATGTTGAACTTGGCTCTAAATGTAAATGTTGTCTCCCACCTAACCATTTTCCATTCCCTAACGTCTTCTCCTTATTTGCCATCTCTCTCTCATCAGCATTTTTATTCTGCCTGCTCTTCCAAATGTTGTTAATGCAGCTACAGCTGTGCTGTAATTCAGGTATGTTAATTAGTTTGGAAAAGGGTTTGGTTTTTTTTTTTGCCAAAGTTGCTTAGCAGGCAATTCCTTCCCTTAATAGTACGTTCTTGTGCAAGCTTTAAAATAAAGTTCTGTCTGTGCACGTCTGGTGGAAATGGATGGAGAACCAAGAGAGTGAAGAGAATAATGAGAAGAAAGACGGAGGAACAATAAAGACAGAACTGGTTGAAGCCGACCAAAAACCACTCTGAACCAGGATGAGTCTTTTAAACTCCATGTAGGAATTCAAAGCCCAACTGGAAATCTGTAAAAAACCAAAATTATGAAGAGTGAATTTCAGTGATTGAATAATTGTGAGGTGGGGCAGGACAGTAGGACCACCAGATCGACAAACTAACTCGGTTCAATTTGGTGTCTCGGTGGGATTTATTTCTCGGTGGTTATATTTTTTTTTTTTACCCCTGAGCTCCTTATTGGAGTCTGAGGAACTGCCATAAAGAATCAAACTGCAGCTATTAATTTCTTTTGTTTCCAGTCAGCGTCTCGTGCTTTTAACGCATCATGTTTTTTCTTCACTGGTAGAGGATTGAACCGCAGTGACCACCTCCAAACAACAGAGAAAAATGGTTCTACAATCTAATTTAACAAGCCTCAGCCGGGGCAGAGCTAACACCAGACGACACCACTTTATTGACTAAGGTGTATTGGCATTCAGATGGACAGCTGCGCTCACTGTTTCCTGTTTCAAACATACTCAACCCTTTGTCTCCTCTCCCTACGCTCTCTCTCTCTCCATTCACATCTCTCTATTTTCATCAAGTCCGTTTCTCCTTTCAGAAGATTATCCATCCATCAGACCTCATGAAAGTGGAGAATAATTACATTTCTACCGTTAAACGCTCAGAGCGCGGCTCGTGCTCCGTCGTTAAGTAATCACTGCCATATTGACTTTCAAAGCTCGTTGCTATGGTTTGTTTGGCGGAACATTTAATGAAGTGTCTGAGGCTTTTTACGAAAGTAAAATTAAAATGTATACATACACCATACAGCGTTGGAGTCGAGCAGAGTGGTTTATAGTAACCTTGTTGTACGCCATGTAAACACTCAGTTTATGTAGATGTAAAGATTGAGAACAGTCGTAGCTCTGGTCTAGGTTTCTGCTGTTAAACTACAGTCGTAGATGTGTGTGTGTTCCGAGGTCTTTGATGACGGTATTGCATGCGAGTAGAAAGAGGAGTTGTGCCGCGGTGTCTGCAGGTCAGCCGGTCGATAAGTGATGATGTGTGCAGATTCTGATTGTGTTCTTTTCTCAGGTGCATTTTTTGTCTGTCGTGGTCGGCGGGGGAGGGTGTGCAGCATGAAGGGGGTTGGTCAGGGGATTAAGAAGGGGCAGATAAGGCCGCCACTGACTTATGCATGAGACAAAAGCATCTGCTATTCGATTAATGGAGGCCGTGTGGACACAAAGATGGCAGTATTCTTATAATCCATACAGTAATCGATTGATGGATCATAGACCCTGTGTAAGAAACGGACACAGGCGTCAGCAGCTAACAAGACGGGGAGGGACTCTTCATGTGTGTAGCAGACTTTTGTCTCTGTGTGCTGCTGCCAATGTAGATTAACAGAGCAGCTAATTAACTAAATACTTATGTGATTAAGTGATGTCTGTTGTTGAGAAACATCTCTGACGTATAGAAAGAAAATCTCTGACGTTAATAACCGTCAATGAACATTTTGAGAATGTAAAAGTCTCATCCACAATTTTTTTTTTTAGCAATAAAAATATGACAAATGACAGAAAGAAATAGTTTAAAGCGCAGAGAAAACCTCCCCACCAGATGGCCTCACGGCCCCCGTACACCACTGACCACACAGCAACGTTTCTCCAAGCCCTGTCCTCGGTTTGACTAATAATACCTAATAGACTGACACAACGAAACACTTTTCTCTGGTCGTTGTGGCTGACTTTGTTGTCAGTGCCTGTGATATGCTGACAGACACGTATGTGAGCAGATGAGGGCAAGTGAAGGGGGAGTCGTGTTTTGCCGCTGTCAGCGAAAGAAGGCAGTGCAGCAGCAACCACTGCAGCTGACAAACAGTGGAGGCATGACAGAGCGCCTGTGTGTGTGACAGTGTCGCCTGTTTGGTCGTATGGAAACCCCCGTACTCCCACATGCGAGTCGCAACGCCCTCGTCTTTCTCACACAGCAAAGTTAAAATACATGAAGGCTCAAGGGCCTTGTATCCATGGCAAAAAAATGGTCAGTGTCGTAACAGTTACAGGTACAACAGCGCATTTCCCTCATTCCTTTTTTCTTTCACTTACTGAGCTGCATTTCTGAGAATGTAAATGACTGTCATTGTCAAATTAGAGATAACCATTTGTTTCCTGTCTCCCTCCTACAGATGACAGATTCACCTGCTAAACACCACCCTGAGGGAACTCCGCAGTTTTAAACTGACAGGCAGACGAGAGAAGACAGACAGAAAGAAGGCAGACTCTCCAGATTACGGAAGTTTTTCTTCAAGAGCCCGAAGGACTTCACTCAATACCACACAAATGTGGACCTCCCAAAACACTGTCATCAAATAGTTTGACGCACACGACGCACGGCACCTACAAAAACGCAAATCAGTGTAGCCATGTCTGATCATAAAGACATGACACATCGCCACCTACGGCACAAGCTGCAGAGTCTTGGCCGAAGATTGGATGAACTTGAAGAAGCCACCACCAAGCTGCAGAGGTCGGAGGATGAGCTGCTGGACCTTCAGGTGAGTCTGGTTTCATTTGAAGATGAACACAGATGGATCTGTATAAAAGAAAGGAGTAAGAATTTCTTCCTTTTTTTTTAACCAGGACAAGATCATCCAGGCTGAAGGCAGCAACTCGTCCTTGCTTGGTGACATTGAAGCCCTGAGGAAACGTCTCCTGAAGATCCAGGGCAAAGATGAGGAGGTACGCAAAGCTGAGGACCTCTGCCGCACAGTCAGAGAAAAACTGGAAGAAGAGGAAAACCTGACGAAGGAGTTGAAAGCTGAAATTGAACGTCTTCAAAAAAGAATGGCTGAACTGGAGAAACTGGAAGAAGCTTTTGGGAAAAGCAAATCTGATTGCAGCCAACTCTGCTTGAGCCTAAATGAGGAGAAAAACTTGACCAAGAAGCTCTCAACCGAGTTGGAGACTCTCAAAGCCAAATTGAAGGAGATGGAAGGGTCCGAGACAAAGCTGGACAGAGCAGAAAAGGCTTTGACGATGGAATTAGACAAACTTAAGACTTTTACCCAGACCTTTATGAGTGAGCGCAAGAGGCTGCTGGAGAAGCAGCGAGAAGACGAGAAGATCATTTTAAAGTTGACAGAAAAACTGGAGCAACAGAAAAATCGTCTCGGTATGTCAGTAGACCCTTCCCGTGCAGATTTTATGCGGTCACGGATTGAAGACGAGCTGTCGTCGACGGGGCTTCTTTCAAACAAAATGGCTGGACACAAGAAAAACCTCGACTACTTCAAATTCCCTGATGACGGCATCAGTCTTGTGAACAAAACTGAAAATGAGAAGAACAGCATTCTTGAGGGCACACAGCTGGAGGACAACAAAGTGAAAGAGTTGACACTTGAAGTCGAGAAGCTGAAAAACCGTCTGAAACAGTTGGAGATAATGGAGGAAGATCTGAAAACCTCAGAGT